TTTTGCCCTTGTATTTTGGGGTGTTTAGATGCTTAGGTTAAATTCAAATGGGCTAGGCGTGACCATTAGGAGGGTGACGCACACTTAGTGGCATTGTTTGGACATTTTTGGTGTTAGGTAGGCTTAGGCCCAATTGGAGGGCCAAGGTGCATAGACTTATCATGCATCTTGTTGTAGCCAACCTAAACCCTTAGATGCCAAACTTGGCCACCAAGTAGCATCTAGGGTTAATTTGCATCTCATTTAGTGTGCATTTGGCTTGGTGAATTTCGGCCAATGCAACACCAAATGAAACCCTAGATGCTAGCACTCCTATTTATACCCTAGCCTATCATCTTGTACATACTTTGGATATTAATGATATTGAGTGTGCATTTTGCCTCATTGTCATTCTCCTTAGTCTCTAGGAACTCCACGGCCTCCTCCCCTTCTCCTCCTCCTTCCACCACCGTGAGTGAGTGAGTTTGGCCTACCTTGGGTGGCCTTCACCAACCTTAGTGAAGTGAGCTAGCCAAAAGGAGCAACACCCCACCAAACACCTCCCATACACCTTGTGCGCCACCTCCATCACCCTAAACACCAACCTTTTCCTTAGCACTAGGTTGCCTTTGGCTAACCTCCTCCCATCTCCACCATAAAAGCAAAACCCTAAATAGGTTTCATCCTACACTTGGATGAAACAACCTTGAGCAAACCCTCTCACCTTCACCTTTGTGCTTCCGCCACCATCTCCTTCATTTTTCATCATCTTTTGGAGTCTCCCTTGTTGAACCAAGATCAAGGGCGTGCATGGAACTAAGCCACCTTCCATCACACACCCTCAAAGTCGGCGTCCGAGAACGTGATGGCTGGCCGAGAGGGTCTCTCCCAACCGGATACCGACAACACTGACCGGGAGTATCTCTTCCTTGCTGCTGAAGTCGGACCTCCACCAACAAATCCCCCGGCTATGGTGTTGAAGTCTCCATGTACGGCTTGTTGATGAGTCTCTGCACTTTTTTCAGGAGGATCTCTCGGGGGGGATCTTCCTTCACGCCTTCCTGCTCTGGTGTTTTCTCCTTCATGCCTACGTCACCTGTCGGACGGGCCCTCCTCCTGTTTACCTGCAATGAAATTTTTTAAACGTCCTTCCTTGATGAGGCGCTCAATCTGTCGGCCGAGAACGAAGCAATTCTCGGTGGTGTGCCCATGGGTCCGGTGGAATTCGCACCAATCGGTTTTATACGGCCCCAACTGTCTGTCGGTCGCCGCAGGGAACTCGAACAGTGATGCACTATTGACGTCATGCAGTAGGTGTCGCCTGGGAACATTGAGCGGAGTGAACTTCTCCTCTTCCCTGTTTTGTCTCCACTCGGCTCTTGGCCGACCGACATGATTGGCCTGCCGGTAGTTATCCTCATTTGTGTTGTAGCGATCGCGTCGCTTATTCCAATTCGACCGCGGTCGGAGATGCTTGTTAGTTTCCTTGTTACTGCCTCCTGCCTCTCGGCTTTCCACTGCTCTCTTACTGATCTGCCCCTCCTCCGTCTTAATGTGGCTTAGTGCGAAGGCTCTTACTTCCGACATCGTCTGGCAATTTGCTCTTTCCAGCGCGACGTCGAATGCACCAGACCTCAGACTCTTTTGGAATGCGATGACAACCATCCTCTCGTCCAAAGATGCTATCTTCAAGGCGACTTCATTGAAACGCTGCAGGAAGTCCTTCAACGACTCCTCCCGTTGTTGCTTGAGGTTGAACAAGTCCGACGTAATCGGTGGCTTCTTCTTGTTCGCGGCGAACTGTGCCATGAGGAGCCGACTGAAAGCGTCGAAGCCGGTGATTGATCGGTCGGGGAGGCCGCTGAACCAATCAAGTGTCGCCTTCTTAAGTGTTCCCATAAACAGTTTGCAACGGACTTCCATGCTCCCTCAGCAAATCAGCATCTGAGCTCGGAAGTCTGTTAGATGTTGACTAGGATCCTGCGATCCATCGAAAGGCTCGACCTGTGGTATACGATGATCCCTAGGGATGGCCTCGACTTCTATAGCTTCCGAGAAAGGCCGAAAATCCCTGGGGACTTCCAACATGACATCCTCCTCTGCTAGCCTGGTGCTGGCTTCTATTCTGGACTGTAACTCATCCGCTCTCCTCCTGATCTCTTCGTTTTCTCGTTGAATGACCTCCTCTCTCTCCCTGGATCGCGCATTCTCCTCCCTTAAGCCATTAATCATGGCCATCATCTCCTCCATGGTTGGTGGTTGCGAGTTGTTGTTGTTGTTGCCACCTCTTGCGATGATAAAGTGTAGGTTTTTTGTGTTTCTTGGGGCGTAGGCAGAGTTTCACTGTAGCCCCACGGTGGGCGTAAAAATGATTTGATAATTCATTTTTACCTTAGAAAATTTTTTGGCATGTTCCCTAGTCGGTATTTGGACGACTAGATGATTTGATAATTCATTATAAACTTAGACAAAATGTTCCGGCCACGGGGTGCGCTAGGGTTTCGTCCTAAGGCGAACCTCAAAGCCAGAGCATTCAAAAGTGTAATCTGCCTCTCCAGCTCTAGGGTTTTAGGTTTTATTGTACTTCGTTCATGGGCCGCTTGGGCCCCGAGAATCAAGGGATCTCCTTAACTGCCTTTACCTTGATGGAGTGGGATGAGTGAGGTCAGGTCTAGTCGGGTTATGACCGACTAGACCCCCTTACCGAGAGGTTAGGTCGGTAATATGCCGAGTGCCTTTCTCGATGAGTGGAATTGTACTGGGCCTGAACGTAGTCGGGTTTAGACCGACTACATCCTGATTGAGCTTTAGTCGGGTTAACGCCGAGTGTCCTCCCTCCCAGGCGAGAGATTCGGATTAAAGCGGAGTGGTAGGTTATGATCGTCCTATTTCCGATACGAAGGTCATGTCGGACTACTACCTGGACAGTACACTTGCCTTCCAGCCCTGAGCCCGTAAGGCGAGAGGGCTTAGGGCCTGGCTGCCTAGTCGGTTATTTACCGAGACAGTACACTTGCCTTCCAGCCTCGAGCCTGTAAGGCAAAGAGGCTAAGGAGCTCCCTTCTTTGAGTCGTCCCGGTCATAGGCCGAGAGAGGTCATCGGGATTATTCCGAGACGGAACAGCTACAATATTCAAAATAGTTCCTACCAAGTATAATTACACTAGTAAATAAGTAGAAACTACCTTCGTATGTTATTTCAATAATTATTGATCGATCAAAAGCTATGTAATGACTCTATTTTTTCAGCTGCTAGTTTGATTAAGTTTACCAATCCCTCCCGAAGATAGAGCCCAACGCTCAAACTCCTGCAGTACTAGGGGCTAGCGCCAAATTCTTGAAAAGTTACCCACTCGACTGGAAAATCATTATAATTCTTGAAGTTGACATAACATTACTAATTAAGCAACTCTATTTTATATTTTAATTCACGGTTAGAGATGCTCTTGATATTACAATCTAGAGTTTGGTACTGGAACAACGAAGACACAAAATTTAGCTCAAGCAATAACAAGAGAAGAAGATAAATACAACTGAAGTAAACTGACGAGATGATAACAAGCATATCTTCTTCCATATTATTCTTGTACAACCTGTTGTGAAAAATGGCTACAATATATTTGCAAAATAGCACGAATTCTAATATATGCTCTTTGGGAGAAAGATTAATTCAGTCAAATGCTATTAGTCTTTCCATGAGGTTTATATGCACTATGTACAGTCATACTGAATTTAAACAGAACGAATTGTAGACCCCGTTCGCATTACAGATCGCGGTAGCTACTGAACAATAACGTACAACAATACAATGACAGTTGGCTCAAGCAGAATTGGGGCCAACAAATTAAGTTTAATAAATAAACTTTAAAAAAGTTTGTAAACTTGTAACTAAACAGATTTTATACTGAGTTTATGAAATTACTTTTACACCAATCACTACTAGAAAAATACTATTTTACGTCACTATATTTACATCGGTTCCCTACAAACCGATGTAAAATAAATATGCGGTGGCAATTTTGTAAATAACTTGAATATATAAGAATATTTACATCGGTTATTATAGAAACCGATGTAAATATAAACAATTCTACATCAGTTATATGAGTGACTGATGTAGAAATGTAATTAGTGAGCTATTTTACATCTTCATTCGTGTTGACCGATGTAAAAGGTGTTTACAAATTCTTCCCCGCCCCCGTGCACGACCATTGATGAGTATCTCACCCTCTGAAACACTCTCAAATGCATTGTGGAACGCTCCCTCTCGCACACTCTTGAACGCTCCCTCTCACACAGTCTGGAACGCTCATTCTCGCACACCCTGAGACCCAAACCCTCTCAACACTCTCAAACCTAAAACCCTCGTTGATCTTCAACAACCCTCGAAGGAAACATTGAAGCCCTATTCGACGAAGGGCAACGTAGTGAAGCCATTTTTGGTGCGTATCTTCATTTTGTGTTTTGCTTGTTTTTGCCTCTCTCATCTTGTACAAATGCGCGGGTGCTAATGTTTTAGGGTGTGGAGGCACTCCTGGATGAGGTTTCCGGAAACACAGTCATCCTATTGTGCGAGTCCGTTGTGAAGGTATTTGTTTCATTTTAGGGTTTCCTCTGATTCCTCTGTTTCGTCATTCTGTATGAGCCTGATTTTGCAAAGTTGATATAGTCCTCTGTTTTGATTTTGCGATGCTTCATTCTGTGTCCAGTATGTCGTTTAAAGTGTCTAATTTATTTATTTTATATTCTTTGTTTGTGGTGATTCAAAATGTCTAACAATGTGATTGTTGTATTATCCAAATAAATTGATTTTTTAAATAACGTAGTTTGTGCTTGGATTTGGGTTTGCAAACTTTATTCTAAATGAGCCTGATTTTGCAAAGTTGACTTTGGTTAAAGAATGGGTTTTGAGTGAATGGATTTATATGTGTTTGAGTTGACACATGCAAAATTGATTTTTTTAGAAAATATGATTGTTCTGTTCCAACTTTTATATATAAATACTTTTTGATATTTGGTGTGTTAGGAATTTTAGGGCTAGCCTGCTAGGTGAATTACGATTTGATTATTTGGATTATCTTTGTTATCAGAAACACACAGACCACCCTGACAAAAAAACGACCACCAAATTGGGTAGTTTTGAAGGAGCTTCCACCAGAACTGTTGTAGAACACCTGTTAGGAGTTAGGTAGTTAGTTATGACATTTGTAGCCAGTTAGCTAGTTAGTCATCATTCTCCAAGTAGTAGTGAATTTGATACTCCTAAAAGTTTTAGAAAAATTGTCAAGGAGGTTGAAGCACTAAAACTTTGGAAGCATGAAGAAGTATTTCAAAAACAAAAAGAAAAGATTGAAAGAGAAGTACAACTTCTTGCTTTAGAAGAAGAGATTCAAAAGATTAAACAACAAGAAACAAAACTTTTAAAAAAATTACATAAAAACAAAAGTCAAAAAAGTTCCTCAAAAGGTTTCACAAAGAGTTCCAATGACTCTCCTAGCCAAAATGAGGATAGCCTAAACCTTGATGCATATTACCAACCACATCCTAGAAGAATCATAAACTACCTCTATTTCAATATTATTCTTATTATTATTATTATAGAAACTAGAAAATTTTCTATTTAAGGTGAATAAATGAGATGATTACAAAGCAGAAAAAACTTATGCTGATATTAATATTCACAATGTCAAGTGGCACTATAGTATTGGGTGGGTATCCTTGAGTGAATACTTATTTACCCTTTTAAGTACAATTTGTCCAGTATTTCTCTGGTGTCAGATTATCATGATTCATGATGGATTCCTTTGGTCTGGAGTGGGAGAGAGGAATAGGAACCTTCTTGTTAGCTAAGGAGTTTATTGTATGGGGTTCCAATTCTACCATACTAGTTATCCAAACTTGTAAAAGGGGTTGTTCTACAGTTTGATCATTGAACTATATAAATACACGCCACACACTTCAGTATGTAGGGAGAGGGAATGGGAGAAGTGGAGGGATCAATATACAATTTATGTGCTTACGCTAATTTTGTTTATCTCTCAGCTTCATCTAATGGTCCAAACCAATTTGTAAAATCTTATGATGGGATTTTTTCTAATTTTCTTCCATTCACTCCTTTATTGATATCCATTTTTTCTTTCTCTCCTACTGCATTGCCCGACCTTATCCTACCACATCATCTATCGAAACCCCATTTCTCCCTAACATCAGAAACACACAGACCACCCTGACAAAAAAACGACCACCAAATTGGGTAGTTTTGAAGGAGCTTCCACCAGAACTGTTGTAGAACACCTGTTAGGAGTTAGGTAGTTAGTTATGACATTTGTAGCCAGTTAGTTAGTTAGAGAGGGGTTGTGAGGTAAATGAATAGGAGGAATTAAAGAAAGAGGTATTCAGTTTGTGTCATTTGTAGATTGAGCTTGTGCTCTTTGTGAAAAGAGAAATCCTTTGCGAAGGGGAAACCCTCGCCGGAGAGATCAGAAAAAGAAAGAATAAAAAAAATATAGAGAAAACAATTTAAAAGGAAAAAGCCGAGAGGTGTACAAGCTGAAAAACCTACTTGATTCCTTTTTATTGTTTTGACTACAACTTGTTCCATACTTGTTCAATTGCTTTCAAATTTTTTTTGTTTTGTTCATCTATTCTAGTACCTATCTAGGAACTTTCCTATCTGAGTGCTAGCTTTATTTTGGAGTCTTAATTTTCAGTTTTAATTGTTGAACCTCTTTGAGTCTTGTCTTACACATATTACTCTTATTTTTGGTATAAGCTTTTCAAATTGTGCTTCTATTGCTTGTCTAGTTTTCTTTCAATAATTTTCCTGTGCTGGAAGTGGCCTTAAATCCTTGCTCAAGGATCAAGCATTGCTCAACAAAGAGTAGGAAAATTTTGGACACAACAATCACCAAATTTGACCTAAT